TTTTTTTCACGTAATAAAAAAAAATTTCTTTTTTTGATTTGAATTTTTTATAATTTTTTAATATATAAGTTATATAGATTTTTTTTTTTTTTAACTTATTTTTTTCGCGTTCAACTACTTACAGCTATTCATACATCTTATTTCAATTGTTACAAATGCAAGATTTTATTATTTATCCCCTTTCGTGAAATCATAAAGCTTGGTGGGTGGATTTTTTTTTTTTGGGATTATGTGTATAATTACACCTCAAAGTTTTTGTTGGCTTTTTAGTTAACCAACGACTTTTAAGGAAGATCATTAGGGATTAAAAAGATAATTGCAGATAATTGCATGATGATGTCGTTGGTAAAATAATTAAAAATGTCGTAATTTGTTAAAAAAAAAGAAATAAATGTTCTGAATAATGTTCTGAAAAAATGTTCTGAATGAGGGCACAAAGAAAAATAGATAATAAAAAAAAAAGAAAGCTTTTATGTACAATTATGTATGTACAAAGTTGTATTAAAAAAACCTTTACTTTTTGAGAGGTATAATTTGCTATGGAAAATTACAAACTACACAAACAATTTCATTGAATTGAATTGTTCAATAAACTTGAAATCTCTGACTGTAGCAAACTTCCGGTCGGACTTCTCTTCTCTCTCATAGCAAAGAATCCTTTTTTTTTGGATTTTTTTTTGCTTTTTTTTTTGTTTTTTTTTTCAAAAATTGTGTGCGAGTAAAAACATCTGGACAAAAAAAAAAAAAAGAGAAAGAAAAAAACTGTTCTTTAAAAAAAATTATTAAGTTGAATAATATTTTGCATGGTATTGAGATGGTTGTATAGGTGATTGTCGCGAATAGTATTCTTCTTCTTCTTCTTCCTCTGCAAAATCATTCAGATCCCAGTCATCAATGCCACTACCCAAAGAACTTGAAATACTAGAACGGTCACTTTTATCATCATCTGCTCCTAAAAACCGAACAGATTTGGTAGCACCTGAACTTCTTCGTGTACGAATTTGAGGAATACTATTAAGTGAACTGGTAGATATATTCAGAGAATTTTTAGCATAAATCAATTCTTCTCTGGAAAAATTTGGATAATTAGGATTATCCTCCGATGAAATCGAAGAGCATGAGGAGGATAGTGAGTTAGACCTCTTTGAACAGTAAGGTGGTGTATGAGGTGGTGTGTTTGATTGAATGACAGGTGTAGGTTGTGAAGAAGAAAGATAAGTATCAAAGGATGGAGGCTTCCTTAAATGTCTACGCATAGAACGATGTTTTCGAGTTTGTTTTGGTAAAGTTAAAGAAGAAGAACTGGTTGTCTTTATAGGTGACGACGAACGAGACGTGGAAGCTGTAACCAAGGTTGTCGATGCGGTTGAGTTGTTATTATCATTAGTAGTTTTCAAGATAAGTCTTGGAGTTGCACGAGTGTGATTATGGGTGAAAGTTTGAGTGTAAGTGGTAGTCATTTATGCTTTCGACTTTTATTTGACTTTAGTATAAAGGTAAAGATATTGTTTATTTGGTTAAAGAAAAAAAAAAATTTTCCTTATTTAAAGTGTCTTCGCGTTTTGTTATGACGAAAAAAAAGTCTAAAATTCAAAAAAAAGTATTTATAAATAATACTTTTGTGGCGAGAATATTTGAGAATATTAGAATGTTTGAGAGGAAAATTTTTTTGTTTTTTTCAATCGTCCTGGAATCGTCCTTTTTATTGATATTTTTGAAGTCCATTCAAAAAATTTACAGTAGTCAATAGTCAATTCATTTTATATCAACTATTACAAAAATATACGTTGTGGCGTTATTATATAATTTATAATACAAGGTAATAAAAAAAGGTAATATATATAAACAATATAAATAAATTGAAGTACTTACGAATAGAGGTTGTGTTTATTATTATTAATATAAAGATTTTATATTGCAGCATCAAAAATTTTCAAATACCTGATTTTAAAGATGTATATGAAATGTATTTCAATAAAATTTAAAAACTATATATCTATATATCCATTTTTTTTTATTCCTTTGACTTTTTGACGTTTTGAATATATAAAATATATAAAATATTAGATATTAAATATTAAATAAAATACTTGAAATTACAGTAACAATAATAATAATAATAATCAAGTCTTTCTTTTTCTTTCATTGAAGTGAATGAATTTTATTAATTTTATTTATTATATGTTATTGTAAAAAAAAAAACAACCAAACCGTTGTGGTGAAGGGCTTTCTCATTTATACGTCAGAAAATAGTTTACAGTGTAATTTTTGTGTGTTGATTAACTAATCATATTTATATATATATGTATATATATATTGTATATATAAGAAAGTGTGATAAGAAATTATAATTAAATTAACAGCTTATTTTATAAATCACGACTATAAAATTTCAATTAATCACAATAGCGCTTTTTTGCTTTTTTGCATTGAAAAATCGGAATTTAATTTAATAGATTCACTTTACCAAAAATAACGAGAAATTATACATTTAAATCGGTTTACGGATTACGCTTTCATTCATCCATCTTTAATTTAAGTACTTTAAAAAAATATTCACAAATCTTTCTCATACGAAACTGCTACTAATCCGTACACACAGTTTTATTCAGAAAAAAAATCCTATTGTATCAAAGTTAACACAATTAATTCTTATTACTTTAATAATTACTGTATTTACTGTAGTTTCTTTAATTGCTTTAGTTGCTTTAGCTGCTTTAGTTACTTTAGTTACTTTAATTACTTTAGTTACTTTAATTACTTTAATTACTTTAATTACTTGGATTCGGATGCAAAACCCAAATGTAGATTGGTATCTACGAAACGATGCAGGTCTTATTGTTGTAAATTTTCAGAGATTGTTAAATGATTCGATTAAAGTGATGCCGGATACTTGTGATATTTGTGATAATTACATAATTCTAACGATAGTTTGTGATGATTTACATTAGTTTGTGATGATTTACATTAGTTTGTGATGATTTACATTAGTTAGTGATGATTTACTTTAGTTTGTGATGATTTACTTTAGTTTGTGATGATTTACTTTAGTTTGTGATAATTGGTGTAATTCGTGATAATTCGTGATAATTCGTGATAATTCGTGACGATTCGTGATGATGCTGCAAGTGACAAACATGCGTGATATATGTGTGATAAATGTGTGATGTGTGATGTGTGATACGAATTTGAATAAGTGAATAAGTGAATAAGTGATATGATGTGATACGCACTTTACGGCTATACGTATGGACGTATGGATGTATGGATGAACAACTATATGTATGGTTAAAATTATCGACAAACTAATGTAAATCATCACAAACTATCGTTAGAATTATGTAATTATCACAAATATCACAAGTATCCGGCATCACTTTAATCGAATCATTTAACAATCTCTGAAAATTTACAACAATAAGACCTGCATCGTTTCGTAGATACCAATCTACATTTGGGTTTTGCATCCGAATCCAAGTAATTAAAGTAATTAAAGTAATTAAAGTAACTAAAGTAATTAAAGTAACTAAAGTAACTAAAGCAGCTAAAGCAACTAAAGCAATTAAAGAAACTACAGTAAATACAGTAATTATTAAAGTAATAAGAATTAATTGTGTTAACTTTGATACAATAGGATTTTTTTTCTGAATAAAACTGTGTGTACGGATTAGTAGCAGTTTCGTATGAGAAAGATTTGTGAATATTTTTTTAAAGTACTTAAATTAAAGATGGATGAATGAAAGCGTAATCCGTAAACCGATTTAAATGTATAATTTCTCGTTATTTTTGGTAAAGTGAATCTATTAAATTAAATTCCGATTTTTCAATGCAAAAAAGCAAAAAAGCGCTATTGTGATTAATTGAAATTTTATAGTCGTGATTTATAAAATAAGCTGTTAATTTAATTATAATTTCTTATCACACTTTCTTATATATACAATATATATATACATATATATATAAATATGATTAGTTAATCAACACACAAAAATTACACTGTAAACTATTTTCTGACGTATAAATGAGAAAGCCCTTCACCACAACGGTTTGGTTGTTTTTTTTTTTACAATAACATATAATAAATAAAATTAATAAAATTCATTCACTTCAATGAAAGAAAAAGAAAGACTTGATTATTATTATTATTATTGTTACTGTAATTTCAAGTATTTTATTTAATATTTAATATCTAATATTTTATATATTTTATATATTCAAAACGTCAAAAAGTCAAAGGAATAAAAAAAAATGGATATATAGATATATAGTTTTTAAATTTTATTGAAATACATTTCATATACATCTTTAAAATCAGGTATTTGAAAATTTTTGATGCTGCAATATAAAATCTTTATATTAATAATAATAAACACAACCTCTATTCGTAAGTACTTCAATTTATTTATATTGTTTATATATATTACCTTTTTTTATTACCTTGTATTATAAATTATATAATAACGCCACAACGTATATTTTTGTAATAGTTGATATAAAATGAATTGACTATTGACTACTGTAAATTTTTTGAATGGACTTCAAAAATATCAATAAAAAGGACGATTCCAGGACGATTGAAAAAAACAAAAAAATTTTCCTCTCAAACATTCTAATATTCTCAAATATTCTCGCCACAAAAGTATTATTTATAAATACTTTTTTTTGAATTTTAGACTTTTTTTTCGTCATAACAAAACGCGAAGACACTTTAAATAAGGAAAATTTTTTTTTTTCTTTAACCAAATAAACAATATCTTTACCTTTATACTAAAGTCAAATAAAAGTCGAAAGCATAAATGACTACCACTTACACTCAAACTTTCACCCATAATCACACTCGTGCAACTCCAAGACTTATCTTGAAAACTACTAATGATAATAACAACTCAACCGCATCGACAACCTTGGTTACAGCTTCCACGTCTCGTTCGTCGTCACCTATAAAGACAACCAGTTCTTCTTCTTTAACTTTACCAAAACAAACTCGAAAACATCGTTCTATGCGTAGACATTTAAGGAAGCCTCCATCCTTTGATACTTATCTTTCTTCTTCACAACCTACACCTGTCATTCAATCAAACACACCACCTCATACACCACCTTACTGTTCAAAGAGGTCTAACTCACTATCCTCCTCATGCTCTTCGATTTCATCGGAGGATAATCCTAATTATCCAAATTTTTCCAGAGAAGAATTGATTTATGCTAAAAATTCTCTGAATATATCTACCAGTTCACTTAATAGTATTCCTCAAATTCGTACACGAAGAAGTTCAGGTGCTACCAAATCTGTTCGGTTTTTAGGAGCAGATGATGATAAAAGTGACCGTTCTAGTATTTCAAGTTCTTTGGGTAGTGGCATTGATGACTGGGATCTGAATGATTTTGCAGAGGAAGAAGAAGAAGAAGAATACTATTCGCGACAATCACCTATACAACCATCTCAATACCATGCAAAATATTATTCAACTTAATAATTTTTTTTAAAGAACAGTTTTTTTCTTTCTCTTTTTTTTTTTTTTGTCCAGATGTTTTTACTCGCACACAATTTTTGAAAAAAAAAACAAAAAAAAAAGCAAAAAAAAATCCAAAAAAAAAGGATTCTTTGCTATGAGAGAGAAGAGAAGTCCGACCGGAAGTTTGCTACAGTCAGAGATTTCAAGTTTATTGAACAATTCAATTCAATGAAATTGTTTGTGTAGTTTGTAATTTTCCATAGCAAATTATACCTCTCAAAAAGTAAAGGTTTTTTTAATACAACTTTGTACATACATAATTGTACATAAAAGCTTTCTTTTTTTTTTATTATCTATTTTTCTTTGTGCCCTCATTCAGAACATTTTTTCAGAACATTATTCAGAACATTTATTTCTTTTTTTTTAACAAATTACGACATTTTTAATTATTTTACCAACGACATCATCATGCAATTATCTGCAATTATCTTTTTAATCCCTAATGATCTTCCTTAAAAGTCGTTGGTTAACTAAAAAGCCAACAAAAACTTTGAGGTGTAATTATACACATAATCCCAAAAAAAAAAAATCCACCCACCAAGCTTTATGATTTCACGAAAGGGGATAAATAATAAAATCTTGCATTTGTAACAATTGAAATAAGATGTATGAATAGCTGTAAGTAGTTGAACGCGAAAAAAATAAGTTAAAAAAAAAAAAAATCTATATAACTTATATATTAAAAAATTATAAAAAATTCAAATCAAAAAAAGAAATTTTTTTTTATTACGTGAAAAAAATTATGTATTTCAAAAATATATATTGCATAATCTTATTGCATAACGTGTCTGATTAATTATGGTTCAAAAAAATACAAATAAAAAAAA